GGCGGGGCGGGGCCGCATGGCCGGCTCTGGGAGGAGCTGACCCGGCCGCGTCTTGTCTGCACCTCACTTTCGCGGAACGTGACTGAGCAGCTGTAGCCGACAGCTAGCAGCTCTCTGCGAGGAGGGGTGGAGGTGGGAGATAACGGTGATTTCCTCCCTGCTTGGCCCACAGCAAGCACCGACTCCCTTCTCCACGCGGCTCCGGGCTGCAGATGTAGCAGGTGAGATGGGCCCCGGGGTGCGGACCTGTGGGTCCTGGCTTGTCTTTGTGGGCGCCCGGTACCCCCACCCTCTGGGTCTGAGTATGTGGGCAGCGCCCAGCCCTTGGCGCCCAGGCCCACTGCCTGCGCCTGCCCGCCTCTGCCCCGCAGTGCCCTTCTTTAGGACGTGCATGGCCACCCGGGAAGGCTTACATAAGGAAAGTGGGGGTCTTGTCCTCCGGTGACAGAACTACCATTTCCAGTTTGAGGAGCATTTCATTGCACGTGCATCTACCTTGTCATTCTCGGCCTCTTCCCTTTATTTCAAGGGGTGGCCTCAGTATCTGCCTTTCTGGGAGCTTCTGCCCATGTACCTGGAGCGTTGCCCCAAAATTTTCCCCTTACCCCTTTTTGGAGCATGTCAGTTACCCTGAAGTTGTTGACTCCTATGCCCTGGGGAAGATGAAGGACCAACTTTTTATCCCAGGCACAGACCCTGAGTTGCCTTTCCTCTCCCACTGCCACCTGCCCAGGCATTGGGTGGCAGCTGTACTTTGGGAGGCCTATATGGTTAACCACTCTCCACACCCTTATCTTGGAGGGCCAAAGTCTATCCCTGACAACAAGGGAAGAGTAGTGTTTAGTGCTCCCCACCCTGGGTCTGTTGGGAGGACATTGGTCATCTACAAGTAGGTGGGAGTGGGTGGATGGTGTGATGGTTGATGTTGAATTACGAGTGCTTTAATAGTACTACACTGTATTATGCTTTTCCCATGGGATAAAGGGTATTGGGTGTTTGAGAAATAGACAGCCTAAGAGTTTAAAGCTTTCTTTGAAGTTAATCAGAAGCCTCTTCCCCATTTTCATGTAATAATATCAGTTGTTACAATTTCAGTGGTTCTCCGATTCTATCCAAACCAAATATGAAGTAGCCTGAAGTGATCTGTATATACTAGTATTTCTCCACTCCCTGCCCCAGTGAGTGGTCAGTGAGTGATTTTTTTACTGTAACAGATCAACTTGTTTGTTCTGTAACAAGCCTTGTTTTAATGAGATGAAAAAAACTGGATGTAAGTTTTTTTAAAAACTTCCGTTGCTGTGGTTCCTGTTCATTTTAAAAGAATGCTCTAGAAAGCATTTTTTCCTCCTATTGGGGGAAGAAAAAAAGATTAAGGTGAGACAAAGCTCTGAAAGTCCATTTCGGTTATTTTGACTTTCCCTCAACTAGCAGGTATTGCTTTTATATAATGTTGAGGAACATTAAAAGAAACCTCATGGAAAAGGGCACATTACTTTTCAGAGTTTTTCTCTTCAACTAACTGAAAGTCAAACCTGGGCATTGCTACAATTATTTGACCACCTTGAGAAAAATAAAGAGCTCTCCCTTCTCTGCTAACAACTATTTACTATAAAACTAATAAATTAAGTTAAACTCCTCGTAATTGTTAGGTACAAAATTTCAACTGATAACCTTATGACCCTCCCCATCCCTCTATTTTAGTTGGAGGAGCTTTAATACCAAGTATTGTTTGACGATCTGGCATAGGTCAATAAATTATATTTAATTTGTTACCATTCTTATCATTAATATTAGGACAACTCCTAATAGCAATTACTACCATTTACTGAAAGTCTACTCTTGTGATAAGCTACTGTGATAAGCTGCGTATAAAATCTGCAGTCCTCACACTATTCTCTAAGGAGGTTTTTACTCTAATGTTACAGCTGAGGAAGCCAAGGTTCTGAAAGGCTAAGTAACTTGCCCAAAAAGTTGATAAGTAATAAGACCCAAAATTGGGTTCAGGTATATTTGACTCTTTTCACTGAACAACCACTCGTTTACTTAAAATTGTTGATTAGAAAATTATTGGAATACATTGATATGCTAGTGTGGTACAAATAAGGGGTAGTGAGCAGTGTGAGTTATTAATACTCCAGGCAGAGAAAAATAGAGAACTCTAAAAAAATAACAGAAACTGGGCTAGTTTATCACCTTGTTCTTTAGCACTGCCTTTTCAAGTCCACATCTTTAAAGGCTCCAAATGTTTACCACCTTTGTTTAATTGTTTACCAGCTCCTACTTCAACTATGGGTACCTATACCAACCAGTAGCTTTCCCAGGATGTAATTTGACGCTTACTTGCTAAACTTCAAATGTGAGTATTGGAGGGTTTGTGTATATTGACCACTCCTATCTAATCCTAGTAGAAAAATACTTGTCCTGATCCAGATTAAATGTGAGTTTTCTTGTACTTGTTCAGTTTATACCAGGGTAGCACAAAGAAAATTATCTCGCTCACACCTCTGAGTATCAGTTGTTGCTGGTCTGTGGCCTGCCATCTGAGTCGTTTTCATGTGATGTGGGTGTTTGAGAACTTAACCTAGGCATTGTAAATTTCAGGACGCATGAGCTTTTTTTACTTTCTACCGTATTATATAAGGCCACTTTATATGGTTAATGCAGAATAATTACTTAGAAATTGGCAATTGTCGCCATATTAATTTCAAGTTACTAATAACTGATTAGTTGCCGAGTTATCCAAGCCTCATGTTGATTGTGTCCCTAGCAACAGAAGGGGAATCTGACAAGTATTGTATTGTAATATTAACATAAAGAATTTTACCTTGCTTTAGCATTTTCTGCTAGAACATTTTACAACACATTTTGTGCTCTTTAACATTTTATGAACAGCTTTAGAACATTTCAGAACACACTCTGTGGTCTTGGGCCTGTTGCTATAGTGAAAAACATAGAATACTTTATCATTCAAAAAAGAGACAGAGAGAGAGATTTCTGTTTGTGAACTAGATAGTTCCTAAAAGTGAACACTGATTCACTAACGGGTGAAATAAATCTACACATATAGAATCTCCTGTGTGCCATGCATTATATTAAGGACACAGCAGTAATCAAAAACATGCACAGGCACTGTTTCTGGGGCACTTAAAGTCTAGTAAAGGAGATAAACATAAATCAAATAGTCACTCTAATGCATAATATTATTATATAATGAGAAAAGTGGCTTGAAGATAAGGAACATGATTCTATTTGAGAAAAACTCCTGACCTGGCTATGGGGTCAGAGAAGCCTCACCTGACAAAGCAACTCCTGAACTGTATAATTTGGAGGATGAGTAGATGGTATTATGTAGAGAGTGGTGGGCGGGTAGAAAAGAGACCATTTTAGAATTAACTGCATGTGCAAAGTCCATTTGGCACAAAGGGACTCTGGGGCATTCAAGAAGGCCAGTATATGTGGCTGGTATAAAAGGAACTAAGAGTAGGTCGGTGGGATGCCATCATTTCTCTCTCTTACATGCTACCAAAAGTTATATTTAACTTCTGTTAAGTGATTACTTTGTGCCGAATGTGATCATAAGGACTTTCCTTGAATAATCTCAAGTTCCTCTAAGGTAGGCACTATTATTACCATTACACAGATGAGGAAAGTGAAAAATAATTTACTGGTACAAAGTTGATAAGTGATACTCTACTGTACCCTTCTTCATATCCTATAGTCAAGCATGACTACAGGCCAGAAAGGCCCGTCCTGTCCAGTGTGTCTCCTTGATGAAGTCCTGAGAACTTGTGAACTTTCTGGAGAATTTTGATGCAGGTGAACATTCAGCAGACACTCTGAGCTCCATGCTCTTAATCAGTAGGTGGAGCTCAAGTGTGGATCACTGGAGGGGATCCCAGGGCATCACTGCAGCTGTAATATTTGTGGATCTTACTTTACTCAGGTCTGATACTGAATATAGGACAGGCACATAAATATTTTGAGGTGACCCGCCTTTGAGAGTAAAGAGGTTATTGTTAGCTAGGAAACACTCCCACCCTTTTTTGGTTTTACTTGTATTTTTCTCTGATGGTAGTTGAAGAAAAGTATGTGTATTTATTTGGCCATTTAATAAGTTTAGGTTTGCCAATATATCCTTTCAGCTAAAATTGTTCTTATTGATTGTCACATTGAATCTTTCTTCTTTATTTCCAGAGATCTGGTTGGAGTTGCAAGGTGAAAGAAAATGAATTCTTTTTCTGATTTACCTGCCAAGAACTTAACCATTGCAGTCAATGTGACCAAGACTTTGTCCTCAACAGTAATGCATGGATTTAATTCCACTAATGATGCACCTTCAATGTCAATAACAAGGCTTTTTCCAGCCTTACTAGAATGCTTTGGCATAGTCCTTTGTGGCTACATAGCAGGAAGAGCCAATGTCATAACATCAACACAGGCCAAAGGACTAGGAAATTTTGTCTCCAGATTTGCACTTCCAGCTTTATTATTCAAAAACATGGTTGTACTTAATTTAACCAATGTGGATTGGTCTTTCCTATATAGCATCTTAATTGCCAAAGCTTCTGTATTTTTCATTGTATGTGTATTAACCTTATTGGTTGCCAGTCCTGATAGTCGATTTAGCAAAGCTGGACTATTCCCTATTTTTGCTACACAAAGTAATGACTTTGCCTTGGGATATCCTATAGGTAAGTTATTTTTTATCTTTCAAGTTTTTTTTAAAAAATGCAAGTGTTTTAGAAGGTAACAAAATGTAAGCCTTTCAATTTAAGCATTTGTTAGTGATACTTACTCTTATATCTGAGAAATCTTTCACATTTTTTTCTTAAATATGTCTTAAATTAGGATGAATTATACTTTTTCCTTAACTTCAGAGTTTGAGGCTCCTTCAAAGGTCTACCTAAAATAAATGGTTCTATCAAAATAAGCTTTGTGAATTTCCTTTCTAATAGTATTCTTTTTCTTCTCAATAATAACATATGAAAGAAGTTTAATTTCCAGAAGAGATCAGATTCTGATTTAAATTATGTAAAAAAGATAGGCATATGTCTGTATAAAAACAGTCTTTATTAAATGGTAGCAGTGGAAATTTGAGTGACTTTTTCCCTCCCTTATTTTTCTTATCATCTAGAATATATATTAATTTACATTAATGCTCATTTTTGAGCTTGCTCTTCAAAATGTGAAGGTACTTTAGTTGAAGTCAACTCCTTGTTTAAGAGAAAAAATGGTGAGGGCTTTTTCACCTTTCCAACTTTTCCTTCTTTACCTTTCCAACTCTTTAAAGCAGCCTGATTTTATTTCTATGTGTGTGTGTTTTCCTGATGCAGCAGTAAACATACCAATTTGGAATGTTGAAATATATTAAAAGGAAACTTTTTTTTCCCCAGAACACTCTTCCACTAAGAAAGTGTATACTTAGTAACTACTTTTTTAATATTTTTATTTTTAAGTTAAAAATGATGTTGTGCTTTGATCATGTATCACAAGGTGAGGACCTGAATATTATGGATCTAGTTATTCAATCATCCATTCATTCACTCATTCTTAGGCACCCATTATGTACCCGTGACTGTGCTAGCTGCTGGGAATATACCTGTGAACAACATTCTTGTACAATACATTACTTTCAGAGAGAATCAACATTTTTATTATATTTACATTAATCTGTAAATATTCCATAAAATGAGTAGTAGTGGGAAAAGACCTATGAAATGAGTTTGTCCATTTTCATATCAAAGCAGACTCTCCAACTAAAAAAAAATGTAGTCAGCCATGTTTATCACTGCTTTTCTTCTGCCCCACATCTAATCAGTGAATCTGGAAATAATCATGTTCCCAGCAGTGTGCTAGCCCAATTTCCCCTGATGACTAGGCTTATAGATTTTGAGTTGTAATATCTGTGGGGTTCTTTCTTTTTTAAGCACAAGAGCTCTTATAACATTAGATTATAGACAATAATTTTACCAGAAACCAATAGTATAGACAGAAGTGCTTTTTTCATATACCTGCAGATTGGAAGGTTTGATACAGAACTACAGGGCTGTGTGTCTGCAGCAGGGAGATCATTTTTTATTGCAGTCCATGCCCATCTGCCTTCTGGCCTCATTCATTGTGAACAGAGAAGACTGTGTCTCTAGAGAGAAGACCCTTTCAGTTTGTTACGTGGCCTCTCTCAGGAGTTTATACTCTCTTGTTCACAGATAAACATCACAGCTTATAAGAAATGTCCTGTTTAAGACTGCATTTGTTCCACAACATCAGTCCAATTTACACGTGACTCTGGAGAAGGTAGATAATGAATAAAGAAAAAGGACAGTCATGTTTCCTTTTTCTCTGTACTATGACAATCATAACAGTCTATGAAACTATATTAAAATGATTTTTCTATACCCAAGTGACAGGAAACGACAGTGCCTTAGTACAGACGAAAAAAGAAGCTCACTGTGTTTTAGAACAGCTCATTTCAAAGACACTTAAAGAAACCTGAGTGTGAGAAGAAACCAAGAATCTACCAAGGTGAAATGTTGATTTCAGCAAATGAGAACAGTTCCCTGCCTCTGTCATTAAAAGACACTAATCGGGCATAGTTAAATCCTATAATTTATTCTTCAAACAATGCTGATAGCATATGTACCCTGACTAATCATAATTATGCTCTAGTGCTTGAATTGTAAACAAAAAGGAAATGAAGCATTTAACTATATGCCCTTAAATAACAGAATGATCTTGTCTGGGTCTTTGTGTTAGTTGTTAGGGATTGAAAACCTGCGGGAATCAAAATAGGAGCCACAGTAGTAGGTGGCTAATTTTGTGTCTTAGTTCTTCAAAGCTATATAATTCCTCAGAGTGGGATTCTCCCCTCCCCCCAAGAGCCTTATTTATAAGTATTAATTAATTAGAACTTAATAGTTGATATAATGACAATAGCCCTAATTTGTTAATATGGGTCACTCCTTTCACATCTTTTTTTTTCAGATTTGGAAAACCATCTTCAGATTGGTAACAAAACAATAGCACTACCAATTTATAAAGATGTACTGTTATGTAATTATGCAAATGAATAGCAGAAATGGGCTGAAATTTCCATGTTGAACCATTTTCTTCTAGTAATTTAACAAGAGTTTATTTATTCCCAATTTTTTGCTGTCCTGCTAGACTATATGTCTTTTGCCTTCAAATACCCATTCAACTGAATTAAAATGCCCCAGTAGTAACCTGCTTTATAAATATTCAGAATATGAAAAAAGAAGAAAATTTGGATATAAAAAGAAAACAGGTTAACAAGTAACAACTAGATATAAATTACTGTGTGTTACAAAATACATTTTTACTCTGAAACCTTTGACATTCATTGATGTGTTAATTGCGTTCAGCAACTATTTTCAGATTTGCTCAGCACTGTGCTGGGGACTGGAGGTTATAAATGGATTTGAACTTAGAATTTGTTGAAGTGGCACTAGTATGAATCAAGGTACTAGAGCCATCCAGAGAAGAGGAGATCCATGACATAGACTGAAGACATGGTGGAAGAAGTGGTACCTGAGACAGGCCTTTAACAGTAGGCATGATTTAGATAAGATAGGAGAGATTTCAACAAGTTGGGGTGATGGTCAACATGTAGAACTAGTTATGAATCTGATGTTTGTGTGGTGTAACTATGATATTAAACTGGCTGATGAAGGCTTTGCATTAAGTAATAGATGGGTATTCCCAGAGATGAGCTGGGTAAATAAGGGGCCAGTTGTAGAGACTGGACTGTGAATGGAAAAAGAAAGGTTTTATAGTTGTTCTTGTGGGTGGTGAGAGCTGTGGGAAAATCTTAATTTTTGAAAGTTAAGATTTAGATGGTATTGTCAGCAGTGAATATAATGGATGAAAGGGGTGGTCAAGAAAAATCAAATGGATACAGTTTTGAAATTTTTGAGTAGTGACAGTAGTAGGAATCAAGAGGAGAAAATACAAAAGATCCCGCAAAAGAAGAAAGTACTTGGTGAATGGCTAGCCCCAGATAATAAAGCCTTGCTCATATTTGCACTGAGCTTGAAAACAATCTAAAGTCTATTATATGACCGTGATTAAGTGCTAGTGTGCCAGAAAAGGAAATTCTGGGAAAAGGCATTAACTTAAGGGGCTTTGTGTGATATAAGTTGTTAAAGGAAATTACCTTATGCATTTTATCTTGGCCACTTGGGAAAATTCTTATGCTCAGATTGAAAACAAGGCTTTTCCAAAATATACTCTCTATTTTAAAAATCGAGTGACGGGCAGGTATGGATGCCTTTCTCTTAGAGATAGACTGTCTAATCAGAACAAGTGTAGGTACCTAGGAATAGTTATCAAAAGCTGCTTTTTTTACTTAAAAGATGAAACCTTATGAAACATGAAAGAAAACCACTGAGGGATATAGAGCTGGTATATTTAATTTGGAAATTGGAAAGAATTTGTGAAATTTTATGTAACCAAATATGTTTGTTTAACCACTGCTTTATTTCAGAACTATTATAGACCTCTGTGTGTGCTTAGCTAACGAAAGGGAATTGAATCTTAGAAAAAGTAGTTTTTAGCTAATGAGAACAAGATGAACTTCTGCAGGTTATATAATCTAGTTACATAACTTTAATGGGACATGTGAATGACATTAACTGAACTTATGTATCCTGAGTAAACAAATATATTTTCCTACTTCTGTCACATTATCTTAAGGTAAATTGAGAAAGCTAATCTTGGACATTTTTTCTCACGATTGCCTCCTTCCTTGTGAGTGATTGTGTTTGTTCTATTTATCTATCTTAACCTCAAATCATTTATAAATCAGATTGAATAATTTCAAAACTCATTGCCAAAAATGTGCCTAGAGACCAGGTTGCTTACTTCAAAGTTCTAAGGTGCCCTGATCAACCCATGACCAGGCCACCAACCCTCACTTCCACCAAGAAACTGCTGAAAGTCTGATCCAACCCACCTACCGCCTTCTGAGGAGACTCAGAAGGGGTTAGGTTCTAAAGTCATCATGTACAGTCAAACCCTTGAAAAAGCCCTTAACTCACCTACAAAATACATCGCACATACTTTGTATATATTGCACCATTTCACCTAAGGCTAATTTTTTCTCTTAAGTCAAATTTTCTTCTCTAACATTGTTGTTCTTCAGTGAATAGCAAGTGAAGTAATTAGTTTGCATTTGGGAACATGCTTTATGAAAAAAAAAAAAAAACTTCTGTTTTCCTAAGAGGGTGTAGTTAAATTTTGTTAGTTTAATGTGCATTACATGACTCCACTGTATTCCCCTCCCAAACATTTCTTATCCAGCTTTGCATCCCTAATTCTTTCTCATCTTCACTGTTCTTCCCTAAAGCCCTTCATTCCCTTTCATTCCTCTCAAATGGAGGTTGTCCATTTTCTCACCTGCATACTGCATGCGCAGTGGTCGATAGGACTGGCATCGTCACAGACACCTTGTACCACTGGTGGGCCATTGTTATTTGTTGTTTTATAAAAGCTGCCTCTGAGATGTATGCTGCCTGGCTAGGCCACTTAACCTTATTGCTGTCATCTGCTGACCTCATTCTAGTCATTGCTCCCGCATTGAAGGCTTGAATATCTGGGTCACTGTTGACTTCTCTGCTCCGCTCACAAGTTTTGCCATTATCTTGTTTGACATTAGCATCCATGTGAACTACCCATCAAATTCTCTGCCCTCTTAGTTCCTTGACCTCTTCATCTCCAGTGATGTTGCCCTGTACTCCATTTCAGCCACCAACTAAGATGGCCATCTTAGGTCATCCTGGACCTAGTCATCTGGGAAATATTAAATTCAGTAGCTCACTATCTGACTTACTCTGAACTCCTAAACTTCCAACAACATGTACTTCTTAGACTTCACAGAGAGCTCCAGTCTGACCGCTCTACTTTCTATCTGTCGGCCATCTCCCATCTTTAATTCTTCTCCTATATAGCTTGGACTCCATCACTTCAGTGCTCATTTTTTAGTTTGTGGTCTCCTACTTGCTTCTCAGTCCTCTGTACCCTGACTTCTGCTTCACCACTCCAGTGAAACTTCTCTCTCAAAGGAACCAACAACCACCTTGTAGCTATTACTACTTAAACATTTAATTTGTTACAAGAATTTTACTTTGAATTAGTCTCTTTTAGGAATTCTACAATTCTGCCCTTTTATTGTGACTAGTCTAAGCCTCTATTCAGTAAAAACTAGTGGGTATTAACTAAAAATTGTGAAAGTTGATGATCATTTTGTAACATAATGTGTTTTTTATTTTAGCTTTCTTACTAAAAATGTACTTTTTCCAAAACAAGGCTAATGAGATCATTCTGTACTATTTAGATTCACTTATAATATGCTGTGATTAAGCACAGAAACCATTGTATACATAACTTATTAATATGTTTCTGTGGTAATCATTTTAAAATCAATTTTAATTCTTGTTTTTCAGTTGAAGCTTTATATCAAACTACATATCCAGAATATCTCCAGTACATTTATTTGGTGGCGCCAATATCTCTTATGATGTTAAACCCTATCGGGTTCATTTTCTGTGAAATCCAGAAATGGAAAGACACTCAAAATGCTTCTCAAAACAAAGTAAAAATTGTGGGACTTGGACTTCTGCGTGTATTACAGAACCCAATAGTATTTATGGTCTTCATTGGCATTGCCTTCAATTTTATTCTCGATAAAAAGGTGCCCGAATATATGGAAAATTTTCTTGATGGACTTGCAAATTCTTTTTCTGGATCAGCTCTATTTTATCTTGGTCTTACAATGGTAGGAAAAATAAAGAAACTGAAGAAGTCGGCATTTGTTGTACTAACACTTCTCATCACAGCTAAACTGTAAGTTGCACTTATTTGACTCGGGGATAATACTTTGTGAAAGCCTTGTATTTAGCCAGTTCATTGGGATGTGTCTGTAACTATTTTCTCCTTTAAATCGTCTGATAGTAATAATCCCTCCAAATTAAATAGTTGTGATTTAAAGGAAAATGCGATGTGGAAAGTCATTTCCTTATTCCATGTAGCTTACCCTTTCCATTTTTCTGTCAGAGGATAAGACTATTGGTTTCCCTTCAGCTTTTATGTAATTTTACTTAATATCTCCTACTGTCCCAGTGTGATCATATTTTTAAGGAATTTTGAAGGACTTCTGAGTTTTCAAAATCGATTAAAACCCTAAAGTCAAAAGCATCTTATTCATGATGAGAACAATAATTTTGAATATAAACTTTTTTATCATGAATTTGGGGAAAATATTCTGTAATTCTGAGGGTGGTTGAATTTCTAAATAAAAATAAGTCAATATGAATAATTACTGTCAATCATCTGATCCTAGCCTGACAAATAAAAAGTTCTAATCAGCTCCTTAGTTAATAGTTCTTCAGCGTACTTAGCTCATTAGCCATGGAGTTATATATACTTCATGGTGCAAATGACATCAATTTTACTGCAAGTTTATCCTAAGGTACTTGGGGCATACTTAACTATTGAGTTCAGCTCTTGTATAGACAATTCAAATCATGAGACCAGCGCTATATGAAATAGTATCTATATTTTCAAAATAGTAAAAATGACTAAGTTCTGCATATTATTTGTCATGGTATTATGCTACTCAGAAATAAGGTATTAATTAGTATTGCCACAGTAATAAATATGGGTCTAACAATAATAGAATTATCAACCTCAACTTGGAAGTAGACTTTAAATATTCTAACTTTTTTAAATCTTTTTTTCTGGGTCTTTGATCCCTATTCGATATTTTCATCTTTTTTTTTTTTTTAAGAGTAGTTCTTTACTCCATTCTAGAGCATCTCTCTATGTGCTACTGTGACAATATCATCAACCTTGGTCTTGTTCTTTTTAAAGGAAAGCTCCAGTAGCTCAGCTACTGTTGATAATGCTCTTTCTTGTTTAATAATTGACTCTTCACAAGGTCTGGATTTCACTAATATTCTGCTCTATTTTAGTTGTTTCAGTTCCCTTTGCTAAACTTTTTTGTCTTTACAAAGATGCAAAGTTAATTGTAAGACACCTAGTTTTCTACAGGTTTTGAGGATCTAATGGAGCAGCATTGTTATCATGACCTGAACCGTTTAAACCCCTGGTTATAATAAAGATCAGCGTTTTCTTTTCAGAAATAAGTTTAGTAATTTTCTTGAAAAAAGTTTACTCACATTGTCAATGTTTTTTTTTCAACGTTTCAATGAATTAATAAAGGAAGCAAGAAACAGCACCTATTATTACAAATTTTTCAAGAAAATTATTTGTAGAACCAAAAAAATCTGAATTTTTTTCCTTCTAATCCCTCATGTTTGAAGTGTTTCTAAAATCATGTTATACAATAATATAAATGGCTCCAAGTTGAATTCTTGATTCTTTCAACAAAGTGTCCACAAGTGGGCATACAGGGAATGTGTTCATGCCAATAGCTACACCTTCTGGGCAGGAGAAGAAGAATAACCTAATGCCAAGTTCACTAGAGCAATTTACCCCTTGGGGACCAGCATGCTTTAATATCAAGTTATGATGCATTTCTTGTTTCTTCCAGCCTGGTGCTGCCACTTCTGTGCAGAGAAATGGTGGAACTCTTGGACAAGGGCGGCAGTGTAGTGAACCATACAAGTTTATCAAATTACGCATTTTTGTATGGTGTCTTTCCTGTAGCACCAGGTGTGGCTATCTTTGCAACACAGTTCAACATGGAAGTAGAGATTGTATGTATACACTACTTTTCTAAGTTTGCTCGTTTGTGTGGTTAGTAGCAAATGAATTTTCAAAACACAGAAATCAGCATTCTATTATGAGAATTTGATATCTATAAGCTGCTTCATTGTGTATAAGGGAGTATCATGTAACATCACATAACAATAGAATTCTTTAATCTGAGGTCTTTATTCAGCCATGGCTTTTTTCATTATTCTTTTTGTAGTTTCAAGTATTTTATTGCTGTACTTATACTTAAGCCTAAAAGATATTTACAGAAGAATGACTTTTTAAATTTTGAGGGAAAAAAATCTACTTCATTCATTGATAATTTAACCACCAGATGCAAAAAAACACATAATCAACTGCAGTAAATGGTTAAAATCAACACCAAATTGTTACCAATGTCTAAACATATTGTAGATGTTATCTACAGCATTAGAGTAAATGTTTTTGAAATATAACATGAAGGAACTAAATTGTTTAACAAAGGTCACTTCCATTTTTTAATCTGTACAATGTTTGCATAATAATTTTTTCTTTTTGAATTGCTCTTATTAACCTATGTTTTATGAAATAGTGTGGAAAGAAACTGGCTCATCAATTTAATTAGATCATTAATATGGTTTACTTCCTAGAACCTAGAAGATAACCATCAGCAGTGGGATGTTTACTATTTGTTATGTGCAAATATAAATTGTGTATAGATTGAGGAAGGAGCCAAGGGAACTTAACTGTGTTTTCTTTTAAGAATTCTCAGAAAGGGGGAATATCGTATTAGATAACATGCTGGATTCTATGATGCCTTCTGCTTTTATTTTAGAATGCCTTAGTATGCTGTGGCTATTTAAAGTTTAGGGTAATTGTTTAAGTGTAACTGTGAGCCTTTCCTCAATTTGATTTCATTTTTGTAGATAACCTCAGGGATGGTAATAAGCACGTTCGTGTCTGCACCCATCATGTATGTTTCTGCCTGGTTACTGACCTTTCCCTCAATGGACCCTAAGCCATTGGCATATGCCATACAGAATGTTAGTTTTGATATAAGTATTATCAGCCTGGTCTCCTTGGTAAGTACGTTTCAGTGTAAAACTGAGTGAAAAACATACAGTGAGTTTTCATTGGTAACAGAAGATTAGGGATTTAAAAATCTAATTTCTTAGGCAATAGAGAATGCTAAAGCCTTCCCATAAAATATAATATCAGCCTTCTGAGTTTTGTCTTTCCAACTGAGAGTCAAAGTTGAATAGCAGACAAGGCATGAGATCTGACCCCTGGATTTGACCCCTGGCCCTATCACAAACTAGCTGTATATCTCTGTGGAGGACCTTAACTTCTCTAAGCTTCAGTTTTGTCAGCTATAAAATAGAGATAATAATTTTACCTATTTCCAGAGATTGTTTTAGAGATTATATGAGACAATATGTGTGAAAAGCATTCTGCACATGGTGAATCACTATACTAGCTGTTATAGAATGAATCATGGGGTTGCAGGATCCTTGGGACCATGTCCAACCACCCATTTCATGTTAATGAAACTTCTTGGGTATATCTACTTCTTGGACAACTAGAGTATCTTACAGATCATGTTGCCTATTAATTCAAGCAGTATTCTGGCTGGAAAAGAAAAAGACAACTTTTACTGTTAAAGGAAAGGAGGCGGGGATGAATATGTATATTGGCAACAAATAAATACATGATTAATGTAATTTTTAAGAAATTTCACTTCTGTTGCATATTGAAATCAATGCCCATTGATAAGAAGGCAGTTTGGGAAGAGAGACAATATAAGTTTTGATTGACAGTGAGGGGAGAAGAAAGAAGGAAATGAATCAGCAAACTTAGCTGGCCATTGTCCAGGTAGAATAGAAACCCAATCCTTTTAAATATAAAGAATGCAAGACAATTAATCTTAAGGGAGGCAATGTGTATTGTTTGAAGTAAGACAGCCTGGAATTTAGGTACCTCATGAGCCACTATGATGAAACAGAAAAGGATAACTTAGAATAGTGCATTGTAACTGTATCTCCCATCTAAGCTCTTTTCCTGAATAGCTGGCTATGAACCTGTGTCCCATCCCAGCCACCAGAGGTAGGGAAAGTTAGAACATGGCCCTGGTCAAGGCATTAGTTCTTAAAGACTCTGTCACTTTTGGATAGTTAGTTTACAATGGGATCTCTCCATGCTTTTTGTTTTACTTTGGATATGGTAATTTACCTTAATACCCTTGAGGGAACTAGATGGGTTAAAGTAAATATTGGAATTTCTGAACTAAGATAAAGAGGATTCTTTAAAGAAGCTAATAATAAATTATTTAATAAGTAAATATAAAGGCTAAGAAACTAAATAACTTTTTAACCTTTTGTCTTTAAGATCTGGTCTCTCGCTATTCTTCTTTTGAGTAAGAAATATAAACAGCTTCCTCATATGCTTACAACTAATTTACTCATCGCTCAGGTTAGTAAACCAACAAATGTTTAGAACTTTTCTCATTTATTATACTACTATAAAGGAGAAAATTACTTCTCTGTATTTTCCAGTTATAAAGTCAAAAGTATTTTTTACCAAATGCAATCAATTACAATTTGATTACAATTATTTATGCCTAATTTATTAAATTTTGCAATAGGTCTTGAATTATATAAAATTGAGGCTAATAATGGCATTTGATGATAATTTTGCATTTTTTAATAGAAATAATTGAGTCCTTAAAAATTAAACTCACAATCTTATTTTTCTAGTTAAATCTTTGCACGTCTTAAATTATAATGGAAAGAAGGTTAGCATTTTCTATGTAAACCATTATTAAATATTAGTATTTAGAATGTTGTCATCTGTTTCAATTGAATATGTAAATTGTTAAACATGGTATAACAGGGTTTCTTTTTACCTAAAACTTGAAGCTTTAGTATAACTAGTATGCAATAGTTGATAATTATTCAGCAATAATTTTAAATAATAATATATTTGCTGTTAATAAAATGAGTATGACTCATGAATTTGACTAACTTTGGTTTTTTTTGTAATTTTTTCTTTAGTCTATTGTCTGTGCTGGAATGATGATATGGAATTTTGTTAAAGAAAAAAATTTTGTTGGACAGATTCTGGTGTTTGTTCTATTGTACAGCTCCCTCTATAGCACCTACCTATGGACAGGTAAGTTGGATCATGAATGGAAATTTAGGTCTGTCCCCTGTCTTCCATCACTAGAAGAGCTCCTATTTGAAGTCTCCTAGCACAGGATTAAGGCATTCTTTCAGGCAGTTCCAACTAATAACATAGGCAGTCTGCAAAGCTGAGTTCTGTTTCCTGATGTACTCGATTTTCTGCCTGGGTTCGGTCAGTTTCCTGTCATGTGGTCCTTTTCTTCAGCGTCTTTGGCTCTAGGTCACAGTCAGCACAGCCCTCCCATGGAGACACCAAGAGGGCAGGCGGTGGAGGCAGGTGGAGAAAGCAGGGAATGGGCAGAGTGTAAGGTGTGTCCAGAGCTCACTATTAGAGTCCAGCTGAACTGAATGAAAAATTCTGGTTCTGCCTTAAGCAAATGACTTAACTTTTACTGTCTCCATTTCCCCATCTGTAAGATTTGGAACTGGGTTATCCCACTTTACAGTTATTTCGAGAATTAAATGAAACATGGTTGTTTATGCCTGGTACACGGTAGGCACTCAACAAATAGAACTATATTATTAAATAGAGGAAAAAGCGGTAATATGAGAACAAGAAAAGTAAGGAATAAAAGGGTATAGAAATAAAAGAGTACCCAGTAAGAAACACTGTTTCTCATCCCATCCAACTGGTTCCAAAAACGATATTGAAAATGGTTTAGCACATTGGTATTTTGAAGTATAATATTTATTTGGATGCATGCATTCTGGTATGTTTGTGAAACATTCTAATCTGGCTGTTTTGTATTTATACCACAAATGTGAACCTGTAAATAGCACATAAAGGGAAATGGTAGAATGGTAGGGCTGGTGACACCAGCCTGTTAGGAGGCGAGTGTCAGGAAATGACTATGAGGGACAGGATTTTGATTTCATGCCTTCAGGATCAAAAGCAGGGCCCATCTAAGTCAACAGCCTTTTGAAGTTAAGCAACAATGTGGTGAAGAATTACTGAATGAAAACCTCAGTGGAAAGGGAAGGGTTTGTGCTTTTAAAATGCAAGTACCCTTTCATAGCATAAGTTTTAATGCGATGTCAGGTTAAAACAACCTAAAAACTATTTCCAAATACAGATGAACCAACTTGATCTCTAATACTTAGGTTTATTAAGGCTAAATTTATAATGAGAATAAGAGAGCAGCAAATAGATCAATGTACCAAAAAGGTTCCCTGATGTAGTGTGGGAGTGGAGTCAATGGAATTGTAATAGATATGTATGATGTGTGTGTGGGGGGGGGAGTGGAGCGGCGGGTTGGGGGAGGGGGGTTGACACTTTGAGGGGGAAAAAGTATTAACTATTGCA